CCGGTCGGGCGCCCGCCGTGGCCCCTCTCGCTTCCGCCTCGTTCTGCTTCTCCCCGGGCGGGAACCGTCTCCCGCTCCGATCCCCAAGCAACCAACCCCTGCGCAACTTCGCAGGCGGCCGGGGAAAATCTTGGAAGGTCTGGCACAGCGATGCTACGAATCACCTCCACGTATTCTATTGATTTTCCTGTAGTTATTACAGAAATGCCCTAGTTTTCGACATTTTTTATTCTATATTTTCCATCTGTCTCCAGCATAACACGATATTATATTATTTCCACACATAAATTATATTACTATTTTCCCTTACAATAAATATTCTAGTGATTCAATCGCAACTACAATTTTTATCAACATATTTTGGAACGATTCGAAGTTCAGCAGCTTCTCCATAAATAAATTCAATGTTATTTCGACAGTTTGAAATAGCAAATGTCACTAACATAAGCAACTGTATTTCCATTCCCAGACGCTTACAAAAATCTGAGCTTTAAAAAAATTGGACAGTAATTAATCAAATCGCATCAAATGTCTCTTTCATGGAGTTATGCGAAGCATATTGAGTAATGAACGTACTAGTCTGTGTACATGTCATTTTGAAACACGTACATCATCAATGCCTCACTAGTCACGTGTTGAAAATATCGTTCTCAAACGGTATGACGCAATCACGCAGTTTCCTTCTATTCACCGACTTTCATCCCCCACGATTTTGGCCGCAACCCCCTACAACGCGGACGCTGGAACGTTTTCGGTGGAGAGGAGGGAAATCACCCCGAAGCAGCGAGAGAAGAAAAAGCCAGCTTAATCCGGGCATTCCCGAAACGTTCGTTTTTATTACCACACTGCATACAAAAGGGCACTGAGGAGCATTGATCGCGTGGTTATGTAATAACAGGCAACGTTGCCGCTGCTGGGCAGACGGACGTTTGAACACTGGGACTTGTAGCGATCGAAGTACATTCATCTTCGTGTTTGAAGAAACTCGTATACTCTTTGCAAAGGGTAAATGCAAAGTTATAGTAGTAAATACGTCTTCTTAAAAATACGATTACATCAAACACGTTAATACGGGTTTTTACGACTTTCTCTGTCTCTCAAGCTACAAAGCAGGATCGAGAATGCATTTTCCGATGTATGCGTATGAATGCGTTCCACGTATGCGGAACACTATTCCCAGAAATAATTTGCATCGTATTCTCTCACGGTTCACTAACCATCGTGTGCAAAGTACGGCCTGAGAAGAAAATGTTCACATTCAGTTCCAAACAAAAAATTCAGGAATTCTCATTGACCATTTTGTGCTCATGGCTCATGCGTAGTGCACATTTTACAGGCGGGCAGTACTGATCAATATACAAGAAAGGTAAACAGAGTCAATCGTCATATTGATTAGTACTGCATTCTTCAGAGAGATACCTCCGCTTTTACATTTTTGTTTACACGTCTCCAAAAGTGGTACGTCTGGTGAATGGCTTATCTCTATTTACACGTACTTAGATGGTTCGTGTAACACAGCTGCCATTTGAACCCGGGTGCACGTCTGAAGAACCCACTCGTCGGTTGCGTTATCTGTGGAATTGCGATTGCGTACACGCCGAGCCCCTCTAATCCCCTTCTCTGATCAGAAATTTATTGAACTCCTATTCCAGCTCGCGTCACGACATGAAATGCCGACTGTTGCTTTAGTGAGGTGCACATGGGGTTCCGATATCTGCCCGACATCCATCTGACGTTAAATAAGGCAAATCAGGTTTGTTTTTCAAAATAGAAGAGAAATAAGTTAAACAACTGAAAATGTATATAAATTAATTTATTCAACAGTAGAAATAACTTTTGGACGCAATTAAATAGAATCGTCCATTGGTTCAGATTTCAGATGATTGCCTGCAGGACGATGATCTTCAAAATATATTACAGAAGGTTCCGAAACAAAAGGATAACGAATTCGACTACCTGGGCACGACAGAATATGCCAGGCAACAGATGAGTTGGTATGCGCATGATTTGAAGATATGAGGTGGAAAGTTTGCTATCAGAAAACAGCATGGTGTAGATCTATTCGGAGCATTTTCCGACTTCTCTTAACAGAGTGATTTCAATTCAGATCACTGAGCAAGATTTAAAATTTGCGATAAAACACGAGCAGTGCTGTTCTGGTAGCACGGGACAAAATAATGGATACGCTTTTCTTAAATTATTTCTGAAATAGTGTGTTAGCATACTAAACTTTAAACAGTTTCACCCGTTTACATATCTTTCTAAATCGTATCGCTTCCTTTTTTCATGATGTTAATCATTTAAGATACTAACGATGTCAAGTACTCAGTTGCTACACTGTGACACCAACAGCGTATCAAATTGTATTAAATCAAACTGTATATCAAATTGTACAAATTTTGTACAAAGAAAAAAAAGCCAACTTCATATCTTAATTTTTTTAAAGTATTCAGAGTGGACTCATGCGCAAAATGTATGATGATAATTATACTGTGTAAAACAGGCTTAAAAATATTACACAACTGGACTACGTCTATTTGTCATGTACGAAAGCGAGCCAATTTAAGGCAGTTAACCTTGAAAAGGCGTTGCAAAGTTACCCAATGAGTCCGTACACTGAATCTCCCGTTCGTGAGGAGGAAGCACATATAAAATTTTATTAGCTTCGCTAATCTTTAATACCATGGCAAGTTTGATGCACAACAAACCAACCTTTACCAAGGTTGAAATCCAAATCAGTGAAATAATAATGAGGTGCAAATGAAGTAAAGTGAATGATAGCAAGGGTAAAAAATGTCCGACTTAATCACTGCTCCAGCTCTCGCCTACGACCTTTGTAAAAATAATTAAATTTTGGGTCCATTGATTTACAGCCAAAATACAATGCATTTATTGTTTACTGTTACGTTATTGCTAGTTATTGCCTTCGATACGGAACTCGATATATTATAATGCATAACTTATCTACATCAAGAGAATCTTTGTTCAGACGGAAATATCAAAACAGTTTAATGATACATTCTCTGACTTAAGTGAAAATATAGTTAATTAATAAATACGTTAATCTAAATCAATAAAATTAGGTAAATAATAATATCTTGTATGTACCACCAGTATGTTAACTGGTTTTAATGATGTCGAGCGACAAAAAGCCCAGGTACCGATGGCCCTCGTGCTTTTTGTCGCCACTCGATCTTAAGAATCCTTAAAAACTCTTTGGTGCATAAATAACTATTGATTTTGATAAATAATTCAAATGATGAAAACAATATAAGTACGTCACATACAAAAGCGGGATGTAATCTATTGGAAAGACAAAGCGATCAACTCATAGATTTACAAAGACTGACATAGTGAATTCTTGACCATTCTTTTGCAATCGGGATGTACGATTTATCTATACCTAGGAAAATCTACAGCCTACCGACATGAATTTTATTCCTTCCCAACCAACACTAGACTACGAATTTTCTTCGTCTTAGAGATTCCGTGTCCTGACAAGCCTGAGGCCTGCTGTGTACAAGCATCGTTAAAACCGGAAGATGAAATGGAGGAGCTACTCTGCGTGACGAGGCTTCACGTAATGGAGCAGTCGGGGGTGGGGGTGGGGGAGAGCGAAGCAAGGCAAGGCGATGTGGAGAGTCATGTGGTGTCGGAGAGGCGGTGGGGCGCGGCAGGGGCAAAGAGTGGCGGGGCGGAATGAGGCGAGGTGGAGAGGATGCCTGCCAGTAGACGTGTTTGCTCTCGTAGAATGAAGCGCCGTGTCATCAGTGCGATCAGCCCTAAGAATAGCCGCGATGGAACCCGCGTGAAACTGATTCGCCTAGTGATTTAACCGCAAACCCTTCCGGACTCAATCCAGTAGCCACTACAAGGCGCTGCAAAGAGCAATTCTTTATAATGTAAAGTGTTGTCTGGTGTGAAGAATGCCTCATTGTTTTGAGAAATTCTGTTCGTCAGAAATTTCTTAAATTAAAGAGGTTCCAAACTCAAGCTAGAAGGCGAGTGCAAATTTAGAAACGAAAGCATCCGAGCACATTTAAAAGTACATACGAGAAATTACGTATTCTCCAGGATTCAACTTTCAGCCTTTAAAAAATCGCAACGGATATTATGGCATCTGCTTTGATAACGCGCATTGCGTATTACAGTAATATTATTAATATGCACTCTTACACAAACGCAGAGAAATCGTCTAACGAACTGTAAACTTTCATGAGCACACTCTCCCTATTACTTCCGCGTAAAACGTGATGACCTTTCAGAAATACACATTTTAATGCAACCAACTTTACATCTTCCCTTCACCATCAGAATAGTTTCCTGGACGACGGCCTTCAGCAATAAATGAACGTTTCTTGCCACGATGACTCATCAGCCGAATACGTAAAATGAGAAAACGAAAACGATATTCAATGGACGGGAATCGGAGAGGGTTCAAAGAACCTGCTCAAGTTGAGTACGTGAGTGGTCCGCCATGGAACCGACCGGCAGAGCAGAACGTAGCACTGAGTTACGAACACACGGTATTTGCAACACTGTTCTGAATAGGGGATGAACGTGAGCCCGCACATAATTTTCGTCTGTTACACTTTTCTGAATACAGACAAGAAAACAACGGACTTTGGGATTGCACAGCCTTTTTTAATCCAAGAACAGTCATGAGCTCATCGTCCGAAGCGAAGAAAGAAATTACTTACATAGTGCAGAGAATGCAGTCCTTTTATATACCGCCCAACAGTTTTAATAAAAGGAAGAGAAGTTAAGAGAAAAAAAAAGATACTCATTTTAATATATATTATATATATATATATATTATAATATATATAATATATATATATATATATATATAATTTTTGTCTTCAAAATGCTTTCCCAAAACTATCATGCTTTTTCGAAGCCCGATCGTCGAGGTTTAGTACGTCTGCTTGAGATGTAATCTGCCAAATCTCGTCACTGAATTTGTAAAGAGGTTGAGCTGCGAGGAGCGCCGGGCCTACCTGCCACGTTGTGCTGCGAGTGGTTGTAGGTGAGCGGCACGGAGTGGAGCGCGCGCGCCGACCAGCGGCGGTGGCGCGTCTCCTCGTCGTCGTCGCTGGCCCGGTCCACATCCTCGCCCAGGTAGTGGAGCTTCTCATACCGGTCCAGGTACCTGCAACAGCAAGATGATCCGTCAAAATACTGCGTCCACAATTCTTTACACATAATATAGCCGTGGTGCAACATACATATAACGTACACAATAATATCGCCGGCGTACAAGGAAAGTGGCATACCCAAAAATTGTAATTTTTCAAGAGAACTGTTTCATCAGAGCCGTTAACTTCCCGTCAGATGGGATTCTTACGGTACATATCTGCTGTCTAATGAACTACCTTTACGAAATATTAAGTTCGAGAAGAAGTAAACATACCTCTTTAACTTAAAAATTATATTTGAGATGCATCACATTTCTTGTTTACCAATGACAAATTATTTAGAGTTGTAGAACTCAAGAGACAAAAAACGCGAAAGACGAAGAATAGAAAACAGCTTGCAAATATATTATAAAATATAATGACGCACTTCACTCCAAGGTGAGACTCATCTTCAAGAAAAAAGGATTAGAAGCATTATAACAAAACTTTGAAGTTCCTTTCCAAGCCACCTCATTCACATTCCAATACGAACTATTTCGGTGCCTAAACGACGCATCTGAGAAGTTTTAAAGCAATTTATCGTTACAGTAAAACTTTCGTTTCCGACTTGATAGAACAAGCCACCCATCCCGTCACTGGTACTGCCAAAGGGGTCACAGCATTCACAAGTGACAGAAATCGTTTTAAAGATCTTCGGAGGTAAACAACTTCGGTTGCGAAAAAAGCAGATCATATCAAACTAACGTATCTTCCATGATTCTGGTTGCTTGCTAAGAGAAAACGCTTTCCATTTAAATTTTCCCAGAAAGCAAGATTCCTGTGTTCAGTGCTTGGGCAAACCCTACGTGGAGCGCCAGTATACTACTCAGCAGGAAGGCCACCTAGAGCCGCCTCAACAGTCAACCTCTCCCGGCCGGCGAGAGACGAACCGCGCAACCTCCGTTCCTATTGTGCCTGGACAATGGAGCGCCCACCGACGCTGACCACGGAGTTGACACCCTTAGCAAACGGTCCAGGCGGACGCCAGCGAGGGGCGAAACTGCAACGGCGGCGGAGGCGCGCTATGGCGCTGGATGTGGGGGTGTTTGGCTGTGGCTGCCGCGCCGAGACATGGTAGAGGCGCGCGTCGGGCGGCTAAAAAGTTCAAGGTTCTCACTTAGTCAACAAACTATGAATGTAGCCATGAATCTCTTACTATCACTAGTGGAGGTTGTCTTCCACAACCAGAGGATCTAAAACTTCGCATCAAATTTCCTCGCATATCAAAAAATGGGCAAGACAATAACGATACCTTCGTTAAACTCATCACGAAATTTCTGATGCCGGTTTGAACCATAATGGTTCTGAAAATTTACAAAATTACAACACACTCATTGTATGACTACACGAAATCCATCATTTAAAAATAACCAAGCAACGAGAACTTTCTTCTGAAAGACATCGCTCCCGATAACCGTTGACCTTTTACGATTACGTTATCTCACTTTTCCAGAAAAGCTGAATTATTTATATTCACAGTATGTTTCCCTCGTTACCAGATTTTGAAATTCTGATTGTAAAACTGCATGTAGTGAACATAATTCCGGGAAACTGAGCAAGCTGTAAACAAACAATAAATATCACGGAAACATTTTCAGGAATCCAAGTAGTATTAAACCTCTATTGCAAATTATTCCGGGGTCCCTTCCATCTTGTTCTTTTTTACTTGTATTCCTACCTAGTTAGCGTGGGCACCGATGCATCGAAGAGTGTGTCCGTGATGCAATCCGAAATATACCGAAGGATGAACAAGTGAATGAAGGAAGAGAACAGGAAGAAAGGTTAGTAAACAGGCTTCACGATCATTATCGCACACCAATTCTCTACTTTCAACCACCACCATTGTATTCATAATCAGTGCATTCACTGAAAGTACTTTAGAGAAGTATCGTATCGATTTCGTTCTCGCTTCAAAGCAAGACTTTTCACATTGGAAATATCTCTTCAGTTCACATCTCTTCTCTTTGATTCTATCTCTAAACGTCGTATGTAAAAAGAATGTAAAGGAAGCATACCATAATTGCGACTTAGTCTTTGACAGTCAATTCTCCTACCCTGTAAGCCTTTATTTAATTCTAATTGTCCCACCTCTAGAGCCGAAATACTGCTCTGCATCATCCGGACGTAACTCTTCCGGTTGTTGCCTTCGTCTGCTTAGTCTTCCTCACGCGCGAGCTCAGCGCCCCAGCTCCCATCTCCGGCCAAGGCGCGACCTGGACCTGAGCCCCTGCAGCCGCCGCACTTCCAACCACACAACGCGTTGCAGGTCCCTTGGGGCTGCGCGGAGCCCGGAACTTCACACCGCGTTGTTTGCCCAGTTTGCGCGACTCTCCTGGCGGGGCAACAGTGGAGGTGATGCTCCTCTCCGCCTCGCCCAACACCGCAACCCTGCTCCTGCTTTATTCCGACTCCGCCCCTCATCATCACCGTCCACGACATGTCCGCACTCAGCGCTTCCTCTAAAACGCTCGGCTCTCGCACTGCCCCTTCGCCGCCCGTCTCATCACCGCTTTTGTCCAATCCCTGCTCCCCGCTCTGACCCACTCCTAGCACCTTCCATCTCATCTCCGCCTCGCTCAGTCCTAGCTTGCTTGCCTGTGTCCACCTATACCGCAGGAACTATTAGAACCCCTCTTTCTCCAGCAACCCTTCACCCTCTCATTCCCTCCCTCCCTCTTGCCCCTCTCTTAGGCACGGCCCGTTTTCCATCCCCTCCACCGCGCCGTCGAAAGGAAATCCAGATCAAGTTGCGGCAGCGGAGGCAAACGAGCACTGAGATTACCAATCGCTTGGCGCAGCGCGTCGCCCCCCTCCCCCAAAACCGCTTCCTTAAATTTTCGATACGATTCGGCTTCCGTGGCGATGGTGCAGTGCATAGCGCCAGTGCGTTGAATCCTTCCCTCAGTGCAACATTTTCTGACAAGGAAAGCGATTTTTTCTGACCATAGGCGAGAACATATTGCTTCCTGAATTGCGTCGCGTTGGATTACGAAATCGTAGGTCTTAGGCTCTCAAGTTTCTTTTCTTCCAGGTACACATTCATTGAATTCAGGGAAGTAGCTTCCAACGGCAACATAAAAGCGTTAACCTTTTTTAAAATGATTTCTTTTCCTGTAATAAGTCAATAAATTTCTTCAGGCAGGAATTGCAATCAAGATTCCCTCCGTGTAATTATGTCCTTTACAGCCTTCGTAAGATCCCTAGCTTACGAAGGCTGTAACTAACAACATCCGATACCTTCTTCCTACATTCTGAATCTTTTGTATTTTTTTCCCCCAATAATAATTTGCATTAATCTATTCTCTTTTTAAAAATATTAGTACTGAAACCATACAAACTCCATCCATCTTTCCCGGCGTTCTTTTTCCATTCTTTTTTTCCAAGAGAACAAGCAATTCTTGCATCCGCTTGTCCTTTGTCTTGCCACGCTTCCCCACGCGTACGCAGTCACGCACGCGGGTGCAACGGAGAGCAGGACACTGCGGACGCGCACGCACCAATTAGTCACTGGTCAAGTTATTGCGAGCGTGTTACGAGGCTTGTCGCAGGCGGGGCTTGCTTTTACGGAAACATCTGTTCTCTGAAGACTCGGGATATCTTGGGCGTGGAGTGTGTGATGTTGAGTATGATGAAGAGCTCTGTCCTAATAATTCTCTCTGCCTACGAGAGAATCGATAAGTACCGAGGAAATTAGGAAGGAAACAACGTTTAGCATAGAACGCCGACCATCCTGTACTCAGTAGATACAAAATCTCATCAAAAACCCTTTGGTTAAGTAGTCACACAATATACAACCGTACTATTTCTTCGAATTGCACACGTCAGTCGTGTTAGTGGGATCGCCGCGCGCACGCGCGCGTGTGTGTGTGTGTGGCAGGGGGGGGGGGGGGGGGCGAACGCGGCTACATCAATCGTGTAACGCTTGCGTACTCGTTCGTATATGGAGAACGAGTCCAGAGGTTGAACTATGCTCTACTTCAAATCCCGCAGGATCATATTTTCGAAATGTTCCAACAGTAGCCGAGCTGCACCGACAGCGGACAGACCTCTTTCAATAATACAAATACATGACTGTTGATATTGATGGAAGTTATCATTAACGTGTCCTCCCGCCCACTGTCCTGAAGCCGAGAGATCCGCTGGGCGTCCAGAGGCTCCGCAGTCCGGCTTGGAGGAGGCCAGAACTAGTGGAGACGGGATCGGGGCACACGTGCGGCGGGGAAAAGCCGGGTCGGGTGGCGGCGGATGTGTCCGGGGCAAATTAGTGGCGGGTCGAAGGCGGGACGGGGGCGGAAGTGGAGTGGCGCGCGGAAGGCGCCGTGATGGATGACGGGTCGTGCGACAATGGAAACCGCACAACGGACGGAGCGTCGTGTGCTCTGCTGCGCCTCTGCCCGCCGCTGTCGCTGGCACCCGCGCCGCGGCCGCCACTCGGGCGGAGCGCCATCGCACAAACACTGGAGGGCGAATTTGCGCCTGGTCCGTTTGCGAACAGATACGGCACCCGCCACATGAATAAACCACCGCCCTCAAACATATCCGACGGTCAAAACAAGGAGAGCCTGAAGTAGTTTAATGATGAGGTATTAAGGAATATATAAAAAAAATGAATTACCTTCAAATTCACATTTATAATAATGCATGATACTTTTCACTACAATGTTTAAGTCAGGGTATACTCGAATACATTTTAAAACTAGCTCTCGCAGAAAGCACGCGCGCGCCATATGGTGTCTGAGTGGCCGCTCTTCTACACCCTTCGCCTCCTTTCGTCGATAGCAGAAGAGTGCGGCGCAATGAGCTTCTGAGGTGTGAGGTTCAAAGCATTTAATTAATCATATTACTGCATCCAGAATTCTCATCAATGAAATCGCCTTATCGCATAGGTTCCCACACCATAATGTTGCGGACGCAACAATGGACACAGCTCTCGAAAGCCAACACAATGTCTCTAGTTAAATGATAGAAGTCATGATGATTTTATGTAGTATGATTTTATGACCGTATATTAGATACGACACGCCGAGGTTTTCAAATCCTGCAACAAGAAATTTGTATGGCGGTAGCGACGAGACAAGAGAAAACTCGTGACGACTGCAGTGCTCTTACGGCGCAGCGCATCGCAGTGCGGAGGAAACGAAACTGATTAAATGTAATTTCATTACGTGGAAGACCAACACAAAAACTGGCAATCGTAAAATGAAATGACCGTCCGACTCATTTCCTCTTTGACCCGTTAGGATGTTGGCAGTAGATGCTCAGCAAACGTATGTCGCCGTTTCGTCACAGCAACAGCTGTCGGCTCTTTGACATGCCCTTCTTTTGGTACAACGAAGTTTATGCTTCCATTTCTTTAAACGAGACAAAACAACGGGTGCTGAATTGACTTTCGATACCCCAGAGACATACACCTATAATTAAGAAGACTTTAAAGAAAAGTAACAACATTTCCACGCTTCGCGAATAAAGGTATAAATCATCCAACATGTGAATTTAGACTACAGTCGACTACATTCG